AGCTCTCCGCCGTACAACAGTGCAATGTTGTTAATGCCGTGATAGCATACAGATGTCACGACGGGGAGACAGAAAAAGGAAAGACAAAAGAAGTAATGAGAAAGCCAGGGCTTGAGTGAGATGAACAGTATATGACTGTTGGAAGTAAAAAATAGATGTGTCTGTAATAACATATGTATCTGAAAGAAAGAAGGTAAAGTGATTAGTAAAATAAAGTGCTAAGCCAGGACTTCCAGTCCTGTTCCTGGAGAATTCCAACTGGCAAAGGCTCTGGAAGCGTGGGTGCTCTGGAACACAGCACCCTGATTTGAAATCCTGACTTTCTGGGCACACATCGTAAATTGCTAGTGAGCTCATTTATAACAAAAAAAAAAAAAAAAAAAAAGAAAAAAGAAAAAAAGAAAAATCCCAAATGATTCAAACAAAAGGGACTCTCCCTTTTACTTTTGGTGTGCTTCTCACAAAAAATAATCATTTGAAGGCCATTTAATTCTATTCTGAAGTATAATACAGAAGCATGTGAGAGTACAATTACCTTCTATTTGGGATGTATTATGTTACTTTCTATTTTTTTTTTAATAATCTGAAGTGTTCCTTTTTTTTTTCTTCCCCCCCCCCCCAAACAAGAAACCAATTCTCCAGCTCAAAGAAATATTTCAAGATCAGCCTTTTACAGCTGAGGAAGCGGATGGTAAGATCCAAAGCAAGCAATTCAGATTTGGAAGGATTTTATGAGCTACATTCTGAAGCATTTATGTAGTCCAGCTGAATTTGTTATGCTGTGCTTTCTAAATAAACAATGAGGGCAGCAGAATTCATGTAAGTTTAACATTTATGAGAATAAAATAATAAAATCAAAAATATGGTATAGTAATGTAAATGCTTACCATTGAACAGAGAATTCTGAAGTAAGAATTCCAGACAGCTGGAATTACAGGACTGCTAAGTTGTGTTGTATAATTTAGAATTCACAAGAAAGCCAAGAGCATTTGTTTTCCATTTTGTTTTAAATTTAGTGAATGACAATGTGACAGTGCAGTGGTTATGAGGAAAGCCTATTTGACAGATGTTTTCTTCCTTCCATTAAGTGAATAATAATAAAAAAAATAATCGCTGAAGACACTTCTTTGATTTAAGTGAAAAAAAAAAACAGTGAAGAATGAACTACAGCTTATTCACATACTAACTTCAAACACCCAGCAATTTTAACTGCACTGAGTAGCCCACTGATTCCATTTGGAATGCTCTGAAAGTAAACAAGTGGAAACAAGCTCATTATTGTAATCAATGTTTGGCATTTCTTAACTTAGTAAATCAAGAAACATAATATTAATACTTATTTCCAGGGCAATCACTACCACTTATTTCCTCCAACATATGCAGAGAGCAAACCCCCTATGCGTTACCATAACCATTTCATTAGACTAAAAAAATATTATTGGATCTATACATGTACCACTGGACCCAGTTTCATTTTGGCATCCACCTCCCACTAAAAAGTGCCCGAGATAAAGATTTGTGCAGAGACAAGAAAATAAATATGTACTTGGTGCACGGAGTTTTTCATTGACGTGTTCTGTACCTTTGATCATCTGTGTTCAGAATCAAAGAATAAATAAAAACTTGGCACAGAATGCTTTTAGCACAACAATTTTGCTCTGACCTCTCTTGAAATACATATGACGAATCAGAAGAATTAAAACATGTCAATTTTTGATGACACTACATTTAGTAACACTTCTCCTTACTTATTTGTAACAAAATGAATCACAGTAAGACTTTTGTTACAGTTTAAGAATTTTGAAAAGAACTATGTAAACTTGAATTATTTATATATGTATATGCACACATACATACACATGTCGAGCTACACTTTATTTAAGTTTAAACAGAAGATATCCTAACTAAGCAGAAATGTCTAAATACTGTTTGAAATCCATAATGACCCTAATTCTAATTTCCTCTCTGGCATATGAAAAAAGCATCAATAAAAAAACCCAAAACAGATTATTCTGTCTAGATTCCCTACAATACCGCTCCCCTAAAAACCATTCTTGGGTGGCGACTCCAAATAAAGCGCAACACAGTATGTTGCATTATCACCTACATCATCTCTCTTCCTCTTCTGTCTGTCAAAACAATCTGATCCATACGTCTCCTGATAAGTAATATTATTTTTGTTTCATTATAGATGCAAAACTAGATGCAAACCACAACACAGGCATTCTCCAGTAATAGTAAATTATGATTTCATTGGCCCTCATCCAGGTCAATACTTCTGTCTGGACTACGCACTTATATATTTATTCTTTAATGTGAACAAACTCTTCAGATAATGAATAGCTCCAAACTCAGATGGCCAGTCACAATAAACAGAATTGTCACAAAGATTTGCTGTGTTATGCATCGGTAGGCTCTAACTGGAGACAGAATGCTTAGATGCTATCTGGTGATTTTCATCAATGCTCAGGACATTTACGGACAGGAGGCTCAGACAGATGTAAACCAGCACGGTCACAAATATCATTGCTATAAGAAGGCAAGCTCAAAATGTACATGTGTTCAAAACCGCAGAAAGAGATTTTAATTGAAGTAATTTTCATTATACCTTCCTTTGGGTGTTCAGTCCACATCAATTGTATACCTGTGAGCACTCTGCTTGCAAGAACACGTACAAATGCAAAACTCATGAAATCCGACATTTGATATTTCCCCCCCACTTGAACTGTTTATAAAAAGATTGCCTTATGTGTCAACATTCCAGTCCACCACAGCAGATAGCACTAACAAGCCAGTCTGACTCATGTATGCGACAGTTATTGCCTAGCAGTATCTTCTACTCTCTGCTTGAAACCATGCTACCCATCAAACCCTCTATATATCCAATCCTTTTTTCCATTTTAAGCCTATATTATAAATAATGATCTCTAAACAAGGCCATTATATGGCATTTCTGAAAGACAAGGTTAACTGTTTGAGCTCCTTCTTGTTTATTATTGTATTAATTGTATCTGAGTCAGCAGTACTTCAGTTTTGTTCTATATTTTAAGTGCAGAGCATTTGTTCCAATAAATATTTTATTTCTGAAACAATGAACACACCTGCTACATGAGTCTGAGCAAATAGAAATAAACCATAAATTTAAAAACCTTAAAAGTCAGTGTCATCCTAACACAGCTGAGGTCCTTGAAAGTTATTTCTCCTTCTGTATCTTATCACAGGTACAAACTCATTAGTCTCCTCCTTGTTTCTTTCTGGAGGAATGGGATGCAAAACTCCTTGCTATGATCTCAGAAGAAACCTCTTCTGACAACATGAGGCACTATCTATTGGGCTATACAGATTTAAAGGAAAAATAGACAACGGATACACTTTGTAGTCACACATTTCTGACAAAAGGCCTCCCAGCTGTACTCTAAAGTGCAACTGTATGCCGATGGTACGTTCCTGGTTTTCCTTTCCTTACTCATATTAAAAACTTTCATTAACTGTGAACCCATTCCCGTTTATAAGATTGCCATTTCCATGGCAAAAAATCAGGTAGGAAATCTTAGGAAGTGTGATTCATGAGTGTGGCCTAAAAACCCCAAATAATTTCCAGAACCTCAGTTTCCCTATACAAACTAAGCAGCAAACAAGACCCCAGTGGATAATTCATGTGACAGATTTTTACAATAATGTTAGAAAAGCACCTCTTTAAATGAATATATAGATTATTTAAGTATATCTGAATAAATTCACTGAGAGTCATTCATCTGAGGGACTAGTTCTGCCAGGGTAAAAAGAAACCAGCTCATAAGAGCATGTAATTTTGCATGTAAAGAAAAAGAAAGATAATTCTCTGTTCTTGTTTTTTCTTTAATTTTCTTTCTATGGTTTGAGTTTGTCATATCCAGTGTTACTCTGTAATGTTCTTGGTGCATTTGACTCCTGTGCTTTTGGGCAGAATGATAAAAATTAACCCAACAGGAACTGAGGGGACAATTTTGGTTAGATTATACTGGTAACTACCCACGGTGAAAATGACTCGGATTAATGGTGTAAAAGAAATATAAACATAATGCCACCTAGCTCCTTATCCTTGACATGGATGTCATTTAGTTTCTGAATTAAAACAAAACAAAACAATCAAAACCAAGAATTAATAATGACAACAATCTATGTGAGAAACTCAAGGTTCAAGGCAGCAGCTTGTCCTCACATGTCCAGAATCTCCTGGGCGTCAGGGAAACCGCTAGCACTGGTAGTTTTCTTCTGGACTAGTTCCAAGAGAAATGAAAATAAGACTAAAAATTCTCACAGCTTCAACTTAGTTACCATTAATATACTAACCAAACGAACTCTCCAGGCAGTTGCTACTTTCTTTATACAGATGAGGCAGAGAGATTAGATACGTCCATCCTACAGAATCAATTAATTTTTCAAAACTAGCAACTGAATTTAGTTATTGCGAACATTTAGACCTAAGTAAATATTTCTACGTTATAGAAAGTTCACACATGCTGTACTGTTCTGCTACAAAAAGCTGTGAGATGTTACAACACTGATGTGAACTAACCACACATTTTCAACAGCATGCCCAGTAAAAAAAAATAAATATTATTTGGCTTTTAAGAGACTGATTAACTCTGTATCAGAAACGCTTATGTCAAACTAACCCTGCCGCAGGATACTTCTTGAATTCTACTCAGATTGTATACCCAGTTTTGAGAGAGACTGGTTTTTCATTCTGCGCTATTATCCAACACTTCTTTTTGCCTGGCATCTGACAGGCATTCCCATCCTTTGCATTTACTTTCCTTCACTTCCTCGAAGCTGACACTGCAGAAACACAGCCAGCAGCCTCATGGAGCTTTTCATGGACAACTGCCATTCTAACCTGGCACCTAACTTCGCTCCGAGGAGCTTCAAACTCTTGAGATGAATTTAAATATTTATGCCAACAAAGAAACCCATGAAAAGTATCCCCACAAAGAAGAAAATGAAAACAACGTAAGCCATTACTGAAGTAGCTCCTCCTGTGAAAGCTCTGACGTTCTTTCCTTGCCAGTCACCAGTGCCAGCTCATCCTTCAGCTCCTGAATCTCTTTTTTCAGCTGGACAATCATCTACAAACAGCAAGGCATAAACCAAGCATCACCTACAAATGAATAGCTAGTTGATGATTTTTTGCATTAGAAGGCTGAGTTTAGGGAAATATTATACTTTAGTTTTCTCTTTTTTTTAAACAACATCTCTTTTATAAAAACAGTCCAAATGCTTTCAATACACCAAGCACTTTTTTTTTTTTCCTTTTTCCATTTATAAAAACAAGAAAAGTCTTCCAAACTCAGTAAATTCTATGTGTTGGAAGACATTTAAAATAGAACTGATGTCTTTGTTAGAAAAAGGACAACTACACACCAAAAGTGATTTTTTTTTTTTTTACCTTCCCTTTAGGAAGAGAAACTCTAAAACAATATCTTAGCATTTTAATCTTAACTTTTCTTCTTTTTCATGTAACATTCCACTATTATTTGAATTATACTATCATTGTAGGATGGATCAGTTGCTAACAATGAACGAATAGCATAAGTCAACCTAATGAATTTAAATTGCATTAATGAATAGTGATGATTGAGAAAGTGACTTGGAGAATTGTACCAGGTGTTTAAATTCTAATAGATCATTGCTGGAGTCTCTAATTTTGGGAAAAACATCTGTATAAAACCATATTTTACAAATCATTAGCCTCCCAAGGCCAAATTCTACAAAGCAGGGACAATATTCATATCCCTAACTCTAAAACATGGATGAGCAAGTTCTCAGATACTTCAGGATTCATCACTTTGATGATGCATCACCTTATAACGGCTCAAATCTATCAGGAGTCCAACGATATTTTAGACTGACATGAGTACACTGATTCCATGTGCAAAACAAATGTCCAAGAGAAAAATGTTTTCAAGGAAAAAATTAATGGTTCTTCATTGCATGCACTTTCTAGAAATAAGCTTGTTGAAATTGATGACAATTTTCACTGGATGTTAAAATTCCTTCAAACATTTGTACTTCTTTTAATGTTTAAATTTCACCATGACTTCCTAAACTTTAAATGACTATTTCTACTTGAAAAATCAAAATATCTGAAACACACGTATTATTATTTCTTTTAACTCTAAACTTACTAGTGACACATTTGTTACTATAAATACAAAGGGCTAACTTACAATACTTTATTTAAGAATCTGTTAAGGTGGTGAATTGTTAATTAAAGATGTTGCAAGAGTGCTTCAAGAATATTGCAAGCCAAACATTTGAACCTGATTTTAGGTTGCCTTACTCTGGTGTCAATAAAATAAAATTCGGGGCTCCAGTATAAAATTACTTAAAGCTGAACTGATAGTACCATCCCTGGTCAATGTTCAGATGTGTTAGCATCATTAACCTCAATCTGACAACAACAGATGTTCCATTTTCAGCATATGGATAAAACCTTGCTTTTCAAGTATTATGAAGACAAACAAAAATCGACAGAAGCATAACATTTTCCATTTTTAAATGAATGCCAGAGGAGATTAGATTTAATTCAGGCTCAACAGTTTGGTTTTCAATTTAAACCAAATCCTTTGGTCATGAGTCAGAGAGATTCAAAGCTGAGTTGCTTAAAAAATACAATGGGTACAAGTTTATCTTCCTGGTAAGATGCAATCTCTATTATGAACAATAAGGTTCACACAACAGTCAGACTTAACTCAAATCTATCAAGAGGCGTTATGCACACCCTTTATAAATCATGCACTCAATTTACAGATGATAAATACTGCAAATAAATGGCACTGGATTTTACAAAAATCATCTGCATGTTTCTTAGCTTTTTAATACACAAACTGTTTCAGTGCAGCAGTGTGCCTTCATCAAGTGACTAGTAATCTTAATAGATTTTTAAACAGTTTTTAGGGACATCCAATTATCTGTGACTATGACTTAAAAACTAACGCCCTAAATGAAGCAACATAAAAACAATACTGAAAGTGACGCTTGCTCCTCAGATGCTTTAAGTGCTGAGAAAGCCTTTAGAGGTTTTATAAAGGTCTGTTTAATTATAATTCTGTCTAAAAAAAATATAAAAATAGTAGTTATTTTATAGAAAAAATGGAACTTGCATCTAAAACCAATTTAGTGGGATGATTCAGTATAAAATCCTCAACATCCATTTCACTACTATTGATTATTAAAAGTTAAAACAAGCCACCTCCTTCCCTCTGTCCCCAGCCAACTCTCACCAATCTGGGGTCAATTTCTTCATTAAGAACTGCTTCATTCTTAATAAGAGCAACTCGCTGTGCAAATCTGCAGGTTGATATAGATTCCTGGAAGAAAAAAAAAAAAAGAGAGATGAAAAGTTAAAGTTTCAGTTAGCGTTGCACCAGGTAAGTAGAACAGACTGACGATGAAGTCATCAAACTAAGTTTCTATTTTTTGTATATTTTACAGAAGTAATCTATTAATTCATAATCCCATCAAGGGTACAGAATGAAATTGAGGATCCCAAGGCATTGTTCCGTCCTTTGAGATTAGCTGATAGTTACATGCCAGACCCTGCTAGAGAACCTACCTACCTAACGAATAAAAAGCCAGTAATTGCTCTCAGTTAGCTCAAAGAATAAAACATCATGCAGTAGTCTTAGAAGTTCCAATGATGCTCGATAAACTGTATGATAAAATTTTCTGAGATGTGCCAGTCTGCATTTAAAATGTAGGAATTTACACATAACTCCCACATTAAGGGACCATTACTACTGTTACAGACTCATATTTCAGAATCAAAGTAATTCTGCAGTTTTCAGTCCTCTATCATATGAAAATAAAAATTTAAATATATGATCATACACTCCTTTTAAGTAAGACTTCTGTCTCTTTCAGTGCTTGGAGGGGTGGTATCTGAATCAGGCTTTCATTGCCAGAGACAAAACTTGGTCCTAAGAATGTTGCTTTTATTATACAACTTTGGTTCATACTGGGGGGTAATTCTGTCTTGTGCTTCCTTTGTGAATGAAATGGAAAAAACCAACCAACCAAACAAACCAAACATAGCTATGCATAATGACTCACAGAACTCCAAATTAGCACTATGCAGCTATCCTAATTCTGACATTTTCTCATGTTTAGTAACTGACTTAACGTCTGTCCTAATATTACTCAGACATATCAGATACTGGAGAGCAGGGTAGGGATTTTTTTTTATTTATTTTTGGAAGGACTGAAGAAGAATGTCTGTTGTGTAGATGGTTATATATCAAAGCAAGAACATTAAAATTGTCAGTAGCCTACTCTGGATAATTGCCTGGGCTTAATTATTCCCAAAACAGAAACCGAGATCACAATGCAACATACGTACACCCAATGGATTGATATACGAAAGGGTGTCTATCCCACACAGCCTAAAAAAACGTTAATTAATAAACTTACCCAGTTGCATTTGTAACCAGACATCATGCTTGCATAACTACGTTTGCAAGTCTGAACAATCTGTTTTCATTTAACAGAAAAGTCCATTTTCAAAAGGAAAAAAAAATCTTCAACTAGATGAAGTACGGTTTTAGTATAATGCTTTCCACTGCATATCAGAAAACAGTCTTAGACCTAACAAGATTTTTTGTTGTTGTTGTTTATTCACATTAGAACACTTTGATGTTATGGAAAAAATCAGGAAACAGATTATAAACGGCTTTGAGCAGGGTTTTATGTATTCACATCGTAACATATTTTAGAAAAGAAGAGACTAGGCTATTTCAGTTGGAAGGGACCTACAACGATCATTTTGGCCAATTGCCTGACCAATGCAGGGATGACCAAGATAAAGCATGTTATTATGGGCACTGTCCAAATGCTTGGAGCATCAATCACGTCTCTAGGAAGCCTGTTCCAGTGTTTGACCACCCTCTCGGTAAAGAAATGCTTCCTAATGTCCAGTCTAAACCTTCCCTGATGCAGCTTTGAACCATTCCCATGTGTCCTATCCCTGGATACTCAGGAGAAAAACTCAGCACCTCCCTCTCCACTTCACTTCCTCAGGAAGTTGTTGAGAGCAGTGATGTTGCCCCTCAGCCTCCTTTTCTCCGACAAGCCCAAAGTCCCTAGCTGCTCCTCACAGGACATTCCTTCCGGCCCTTTCACCAGTTTTGTTGCCCTCCTCTGGATGCTTTCAAGGACCTTCATATCTTTCTGAAATTGGGGGGCCCAGAACTGCTCACAGCACTCAAGGTGAGGTCACACCAATGCTGAATACTGTGGGATAATCACCTCTATGCTGTGTTTGATGCCCCCCAGGATGGGGTTTGCCCCTTGGCTGCCAGGGGCATGTTGAGCCTGCTGCCGACCAGCACCCCCAGATCCCTTTCTGCAGGGCTGCTCTCCAGCCACTCCTCTCCCAGTTTATACTTGTGCCCGGCATTACTCCATCCTAGGTGCAGAATCCTGCGTTTCAACTTGTTAAATTTCATCCCATTAGTTGTAGCCCAATGTTCCAATCTATTTAGATCCCTGTGCAAGACCTCTTGTCCCTCAGGAGAGTCAACAGCACCTCCCAGTTTGGTATCATCAGCAAACTTGCTAATGGTGCATTCAACTCCTGCATCCAGATCATTGATAAATATATTGAACAGAACTGGCCCTGGAATTGAGCCCTGAGGAACACCGCTGGTGATGGGTTGCCAGCCAGATGTAGCCCCATTCACTACAACCTTTTAATAAACACCACAGTCCTTTTGGTAAACAAAGAGTAGAAGACATCACTACATATAATTCCAGTGCAGGGAACTGGTGAAGTGAGATAAAAGCATCTAAAAAATTTCCAGAAATCCTAAATCACCCCACCCAACTCCTTCTGCCCTTAGTGAACTCTCCAGTTGTCTACCATACTCAATGAAATCTCAATCCAAAGAAGCCTACAGAAGTTCTGCCAAGGCTTTCAGAGTGATCCATAATCTACTTTTAGATCTCACCAACGTGTCCTGTGGAAAATTCATTGGAATTACATTTTCATAACTCAAGGATTTATTCATGAGAAAAAGAGTACATTTAAAATAAAATAGTTCATTACTGGGTGGAAGTCATTTCTCAACTGCTCCTTGACTTCAGGTTCCTTAGAGAAAATGCACATTTCCTAAAGGATTTGTCTATACCTTACTGCAATTTCCACTGATAAAATTATCTCCTTGGAACAAAAGTTAAAATGCTTTTTTTTTTTTTTTTTTTTTAAGGATAAGAAGGAAAGCATACACACTTGAATTGCAAACTGTAACAAAAGTCAAAAGAGCAGGATCATTAGAGAAGTGAAAACATTTTTGGTGCAAATAGGTAGAAATAACATACATCTATGTTTCTTTTGTCTATGGAGAGTGTTGCTATCATGGTAGTCATGCAGTTTCCTCCCAGGCTGTCTCTTAGCACTGAGGTCATCATAGAGTTTCGGTACGGAATGTGGGACCGGTTTTTCTCCGCAAGGGCAATTATTACCTGAAACAAAAATGAAAATGGAAAAGACTTCTAAATTTACATGTCTATTAAGGATTCACACATAAAAAGAACAAAACCAATCTGCTCAGGAGCCTAAACTTCTGATACAACCAAACTACGCTTTTGGACCCAGCTAGCTGCAAACCCACTGATTCAATTGAAATAATTTCAACTTAAATTTCAGCACGTTTCTATGTCTTTGTAGGAGCTGGACCTGAAAGACGGGAGAAATTTAATTTTGTAATACCCTAGCTTTACAGCCTCTCAGCAACATGGATAGTGAACACAATAAATTAAAAACCACAGACTTTCCTAAGACACAGGAACTTACTGCAAACCTTAATTGTATTTTTTCTATCATAATAATAAAGAATGAATAGTATTTAAGTAAAAACTTACTTAATATTCACTAAAGCATGCTTTTAAAATTAGAGATTCTTAAAGCACGTGGTTCTTAGAGGGGTCAATACATTTATTTCTGAGAAAATGTCTTGAAAAGTAAAACACGAATAAAAGGGTGCATGGTTACAATGTACTGCTGGGAAGAAATAATTCCGTTTAGAATATATATGCCTTGGCCAAAAAGGAAATGGTACACCTACCATTCTCAGTTACTCTTCTCAGCTGTTTACATTATGAGAGCTAATTTTTATAGATTATTATAGATTACCCCATGATCTGTTGTGATATAAAAGATTTGAACTGTTATCTGGCCAAGCACTGTACTTAAAAGCTGTCGCTATATGAGTTGTGCAAGCTATCCTAAATGATTAGGAGTTGTTTTTCCTGTCATAAATGTTACACAGCAGCATATATTTTCTTTAGGCTGCACTTAAGAAAATTGTTATTTTAGAAAATTTAGTAGCAGCTGTTTTTGTTTCTCTTAGCGGTCTTCAGAAAGTTATAATTTCTTATTACTATAAATCTTACACTGAGAGGGACAGAGTCAGTAACACAGAAGATGATGGTTTTAAGTCCCTTCAGTAAAATGTCAATTAAATCACTAAATCAGTCTTTACAATCCAATCAAGGAA